ATACACGATGTACGTAAGGTGTATACTTCCAAAGATTTCATTGAGGGGGGAAATCAGGAAAAAGGAAGGAAGGAAGGAAGGAAGGAAGATTAACAACAGGAAAGAGCAGGAGAGTCTGAGAGGAGTAGTAGGAGAAAAGTGAAGGAATAATTCAGTGACAGAAATACATAAATATATTAATACTACTAACATGTTTTTTTTTTAAAAAAATCCTACTTTAAAAAATAGTGTATATGGTCAGTGACTAATATAAACCTGCCATCTTTGTGGTACGTCCGCAGCCACCTTTATATGTATACCTGGAGTACTGTGTCGAGTTCTGGGTACCACAATTTTATAAGGATATTGACAAGCTGGAATGTGTGCAGAAGAGGGAAACAAGGATGATCAAAGGTCTGGAAACCAAGCCTTATGAGGAATGGTTGAAGGAGCTGGGTGTTTTTAGGCTGGAAAAGAGGAGGCTGAGAGGAGATATGACAGCCATTTTCAAATATCTTTTCATAATTCTAACAGTTTTATCTTTTTATACTTGTGTAATATATTGTTGTAACACGGCCTAGGACTTTAAGATTAAGCATGAATAAGAAATCTTATAAATAAATATAAATAACGAATACATTTCCTGCTACTTATTTATTTTTCATTTTATTTCTCAAAATATTTATATACCACTATTCATAAAAACTATCAGTTTATAACAGTTATACATCTCTGTAATCGCACTGGGATATAACCTACACCTAAGTTGTCCAGGACTTTACAAATCAACACAAGGACCTTGGCTTAGTAACAGCTGGGCTGCCAGTCCATATGTTGCGACAATGCTGCTGGCCAGGGGCCCCCAAGCTTCAAGACCACTTTGTTATCTCCATGTGCCTAAGCTTAGAGCATCATGATATTGATATTGATATGGAACTGTTTAGTATAGATTTTTTCCTTCAGAGTATCTAAGAGTTCTCATATAAGACCTTCCCCCTTGAAGGACAAATTTAATCTCAGATACAGCTCACCATGAATGTCTTCAATTGCTCTTGCAAGCTGTAACAGTAGAATGGGTGCACTTATAGCATAGTCTCAGCAGTTATTAAGAAAGGAGCTCAACTTATACCAGAACTTCCACTGAAAGAATAAGCCATCAGAACTAATTTTTCCAAAAACACACACACACCAAAAAAATCACACAAGAAAATTCACTACCAACATAAGCTTGATAATCAGGAGCCAATGATTAACTCAAGTAAGCCAATAATAATAATAATAATAATAATAATAATAATAATAATAATAATACATTATTCATATGCCGTCCATCTGATTGGGTTGTCTCAGCCACTCTGAGCGGCTTCCAATAAATTATAAAATCATAGTAAAACATCAAACATTAAAAGCTTCCCTATACAGAGCTGCCTTCAGATGTCTTCTAAAAGTCAGATAGTTGTTTATTTTGTTGACATCTGACATGAGGACTTTCCACAGGGTCAGCACGACTACCGAGAAGGCCCTCTGCCTGATACCCTGTAGCCTCATTCTTGCAATGACGGAACCACCAGAAGGCACTAACCAACTTCACAACATTCATAATATTTGCCTTAATGTACAGGTCAAGAAACTGAGTAAGCAAAGCTACATACTGGAAAGAACGGTAGGCTGTGACAGATCTGGTGCTATTTAACATATTCGAATCAGCCAGTAGCAATTAAGACTGTATATACAGTATATGTTTTCAGAATAAGAGCTTATTCTGTATATTAGATGCACAAAGAAATTCAGTGTCACGGTAATAAAATATCTACTATTAAGACGCAACATGGGCAACTAATAGCCTTGGAAGACTATTTTCTGAAGAAATTCAGTTTGTCGTGTCCTACAAAGGAGTCATGGAGAGAATGAAGCAGAAGCTCCAGTTCTGGGGGATGCAAACTTGGACCATTCTGAGAGCAAGTCATATAAATATTTCAGCAGTGACTCATCTGAGCCAGAGGCATCCTCTTATGAGTCATCTAGTCTGTCCCTTGGAGTCACTGCAAAACTAATGTCTAAGCCCATGATTTGCTAGGTTTGTAAATAGAACATATATCCCATGGGGCCACCTGACCTCTCAAACATTTTTTGTTTGTAGTACATCCCTTCTTGTTGAAATACATCATGTGAAAGCCAGATATATAGTCTTTAGATTCAAACAACAAGGTCCAAAAACAGATATCAAGAACTGTTCCTCTCTAGCAGCTTGTTAGGGATGCGGGTGGTGCTGTGGGTTAAACCACAGAGCCTAGGACTTGCCGATCAGAAGGTCGGTGGATCAAATCCCCACAACGGGGTGAGCTCTAGTTGTTCGGTCCCTGCTCCTGCCAACCTAGCAGTTCGAAAGCACATCAAAGTGCAAGAAGATAAATAGGTACCGCTCTGGCGGGAAGGTAAACAGCGTTTCCGTGCACTGCTCTGGTTCGCCAGAAGCGGCTTAGTCATGCTGGCCACATGACCCAGAAGCTGCACACCGGCTCCCTCGGCCAGTAAAGCGAGATGAGCGCCACAACCCCAGAATCGGTCATGACTGGCCGGGGGTCCCTTTACCTTTTTTAGCAGCTTGTTAAGAAGCAATGCTGTATGCATGAATTTCCTTCCTTAACTTTGCCATTCTATGTTCAAGTGTACAGTAATCATGCTACTGTATGACGGAAGGGCTTTAGTATATTTCACATAGATATACACTTCTAAGATTAATTGGAAATGAGACCCCTCTACAGAATGTCTAACTAGCACAAATGCTCAGCATTATAACAGTACGGAAATGACCACATGCATACTCAGTCCTTCAAATCTTCAGAACAGTCTTCACTATTCTGGTGCCTTCCAGGTATTTTGGACTACAGTTCCTATCTGTCCCACTCAGCACATGCTGACTGGTACTGATAGATCCCCTGGCCTAGACTGATGGGAGTTGCAGTCCAAAATATCTAGGCACCTGGTTGGTGTAGGCTGAAGAAGACACACCTGATGGGATTTGAATCATTATGACATGGAAAATAAAAGAGTTTTAACAACGTTGATTGAAACGTGCATCCATTGGGATGCACATCCATGGTGACACCTGCTTTCTATTGGGAGTTTTTCTATTGAGTTCTATATGAAGTTTTGCACTGGATTTGGCCTTCTATGAATATTCTATCAAACTCAGAGATTAAAAAAAAAATTGTGTATTTTAATTAAGTGTATTTATATTTTTTTCGTCATTGGTTTTATACCCGCTAACTGTTTAGAAAGCACCTTGGTAATTAAGTGGCTAATAATAATAGTAGTAGTAGTAGTAGTCAACACATGCCCTTAAATTGCTGATGCAGCCCTATAAAGCTCCCCTCGTCCTGGCCACACAGCTGAGTCAACTCTTTCACCCTAGTTCCCACCTTCCAGGCTCCAGAATGCATAAGATTGGGACTGGAGGCACTGGAATGAGTTTTTCATGAACCATAAGTGGCACGTCCATTTTTCCATAATCCTTTATTCCATTAATGGTCTACATTAGTCCATGGTTTAAATTATCCTCTTGACGCACTTTGCATCCAAAGATAACCAGGATAAACTGAGTTTGAAACCAACTACTTCTTCCAATCAAATACTTGCTACCTACAATATATAACTGGTTTCATAGTTGTAAAAAGGTTACTTCATTGCAAGGCACTCTCTTCCTCACTAAATAGTGAGTAGAAATATTCACTAACATTGGAATACACAGCAACACAATCCATACTCCCATGTGCACAAGCAAAAATTCAGACACCCAAGAGCTATTATTGGAAGTCTTCATTTCCAGTAAGAGAAGGTACAAATGAACAGCAACACAAAAGTTTTGCACTTAGAACAGAATGAAGAAGAAAGAAAAGAAGTGAGCTAAGAATATTGGTCTATACAGTTTAAATTCAACTGAAATTGAAAGAATTTACTTCCAAGCAAGTGAGCTAAGAATCAGGGTGATAGATGGATAAATGGAAATCTTTTTACATTACTGGATTCATTTTTCCAAGATTATGTTTACCAATGTTTGTTTTTCTCTTTGGGCAAGGGTTCATTTTAGCACAATATACAACACCTAAACTCAGGTATGTTTAGCTACTCTTAAAAATGGAAAGTGTTGTTTGGAAAACATTATAAAGTAGAGCTAGTATTTTAGAATTAACACAAATGCTTATCTGTATTGAAAGGCTTGAAAGTATTTTGACAAACATTCTGAAAAATTATTGAGATTGTAAACAAATTCTGATTTGGTCAACTCATTCTACTTATTTTTATTTTCTGGGAGATTTAAAGTACTAAATTGTGGGAAATAAATTAGAAAAGAATTCCCCAAAGAAAGCTTCTTCTTTTTTTAATAATCCACCACACACAAGCACAAACGCTAAGAGCTGCCTCTGTTGGTCGAAATACAGTTTTTCATATCCATCCATGTTTATGTCATATTCTAACTGGAGCAGCAAGAGTTCTCAACAGATTCATTATTTGTTGGTAGAATATAAAAAGAACCCTATAACTCTCAGTTCGTTCGCCACTGCAGAGCATTGTCATTAAAAAAGCAAAAAACCCAACCTAAGACCACATATACCAATGAAAGATTACAGAACCTGAATCGTTTCTAAAGGAACAGTGGGTAGTATTAGTTCCCTTTGCTATACAAAACTAAGAAAATTTATTGCTTATGAATGAGAACTCCAAGCTGTCATAGGAGCTTTCATATACACCAAGTTCCACGACCCACGCGAACATAGCAAGCTCTAAATGCATAGCAAAGTCTGTAAGGGGCTTTGTTGGATTCAGGCAAATTCTGAATCCTGAGCTGAAGCAGGATGCTATGGCGGGACCTGGGGCTTTTCAGAGGCAAAGTGGGACCCGTACAAAGCAGCACAAGTGAAAGCAGGCCCCTCTGAAGCAATTAAGTGCTCCAGATGTTTAAAAGACACTGAAGACAAGTATCTACTAGAAGGAGAATAGTAAAGGCCTCTTAAGCTTACCATGTATGAAATGAAGCAGCTTGGACCAGTGTTGAGCATTCTCTGAAGCACTGAATTGGGGTCCAAACCAAATGTTATGGTCAGTGCACATAAGTAAAGATACATATCAAAAGATCCATGTATTTGAGTGGGCAGTCCATCTGCGCACAACTATCTGCATCGCAATGTATATGGGATCCAGTGGTGGGGGTGAGAATTAAGTTAAGCTCAGGTAGTACTTAGATTCCATTTATTTTAATGATATTATTATTATTATTATTATTATTATTATTATTATTAAAAACAGCATCATTTCTGGATTGCATTTCAGATGTGAAACTGCATTGATAAAAACAGAAGGAATAGCAATGTCATTCTATTTGCTTTTAAAAAATTGCTCTCAAGTCTTTTTGATTTAAAACACTTGCATTTTCTTTGTAGGTGCCACATCCTCTTATTAATACATACAAGGATAGATGGAATAATTAAGATGCATGTGTTTAATTAAGATGCTTAATTAATAATTAAGAAATCCAACTAGTGCATGTGTGCTCATGGAGGGGCTTTTGATCTAGGCATCTCTTATTGGAGCTTGCCATGCTACCTTCCACCCTGTTCTGTAGGGTCATGTAACTCCATGAAGCTTGATTTCCAGCGGTGAAACTATTTCCCTGGGTCAAAATCCAAGTTTATAGTCTATTACACAATATCTATTTGCTGTCCCAAAATGTAAAATTCTGTGGATGGTTTGTAATAAACAAATATAAAGTTACAAAAGAAAACTATACAACCAAAATCAACATGAATACAATGAGGGTGAGAAAACTCCTCACAAGTCCAAAGATGTAAAAACTGAGTGGGGCAGACTACATGAGTTATTTTTTAAAAGCCTGGGAGCACCCAGGAAAAATATAAATATGCACCATAAACACAAGCTTCCAAGTTCATTTGTGTGTTATCTTCACACATTTCTATATTTAGGTTGTTGAGTGATTTGTTCTTCTGACACCTCATGAAAATTGCAGATCTGTCTATAGCCTGAGATTTCCCTTAAAGAGGAGGTAATGCGAAATTTCACTACTGCTGAGTATATAGAGAAAGACAGCCGGGTTTATTTCCACAGTGATTTTCTTCTGCTGCTATTACTCACATTTTGAAATAAATCTCTAAATCTGAATATATGTTTGGATGATTAGATCATAGGCAAATGCCATTTTGTATCTAGGTAATGCTGAGAACAATAAATTATTGTTCTAATTTAGTAGCGCATGGATTTTTTATAGCATGAATTGCCATTTTAAAAGCACATGCAACACAATGCAACTTAACTGTATCTTAGAAGTTGCCAAACACCAAACAAATAATATAATGTGATCGGCAAAAGCAAGCATGGGAAAAGCACATCAGTAAATGGTCCAACAATCTCAATAATATATGGGTTAATTGTACCTGAAATCGTTTAGCAGGATAATTGTTTTTTGGTCCAGACTCTGTTCTCCAAGTCTACCAAATCCACTGGGTTGGATTCACCAATTTTCCTTCAAATTCATTTTCTAAAAGATAAAATAAATTAAAATAAATTCCTCTGTAACAGAATAAAAAAACCAAAGAAAAGTTTATCATAAATTAGCATGCAACCAGACAGATTGGGCTGGATCCAAAGAACCACAAGTGTTTTGGAAATAGCTGCTATCACTCATAAATGCCTATACTAGTAAGAGAATTCATGCCCAACTACAGCAGGTAGCCTCTACTGAAGTGTTCAAGCTGTGTCTTCTGCAAGCTAAAGAACACCTTTGGATTTCTTTACTTGTGCTATGCCCTAACATGTAGTCAAAAACAGTCCTCCATGAACAGACCTCAATACCTTCTTATTTTATCCTTAGAAAAGCCACATTTATAGATGAAGTGTCTGCAAACAACATACTGGGATAGATTTATATATCTGTTCCATTATTCAAGCTTTCCCCAGCACTTAAGTCTGAATAGGCTGATGTTCTGGCACCACAGTCCTGTTGATTTCAATAAAACTTTCTGCCAAGTAGGTATATACTAATTTTTCTGCCTTTCTACAAGAGAGTCACCTATAGCAAATATAAACTTAAAATCTTGAACTGAAAAATTATGATGCAACTGATGTTCACTGTCACAAATTTATGTTCACACTGGAGGGAAATTTGGAAGAGAAATGAAGATGCTGTCCCACCACGCACATCAGCAGGTTTCAGTGAGCAACATATGCCTGACATGCCTTCCTCAGAAAACCTTGTCAATGTCAGGTCAGGGGAGTTGTGTGGAATGTAGGCCAAGTTAAAAAGAAACTTAAACTTTCAAGATTACCCTTTTGGATTTACAAAGAGAAGCAGCTGCAAGTAGCATCACAGTACAGAAATGATGAATCCCACCTTTCAGATGAAGATAAAAGCTTTTTGCTGTACACATCTGAACCCTATAGCACTTTTTCTGTATGCAGGAAAACACACATCTTTGCCGGGACTATACTTCCACAACCTCAGAGGGGTATAGTTAAGAGATTTTGGAGGCTCTGGCAGATCTGGATGGCTCATGTGAACAAAAAAGATTTCATGAGCTGGAATTATCTGTGGTAACTGAGCTGTACAGATTTGCTTAGTTTCAAGTCTCTCTTCATATGCATTTGTCTTGTACAAATAAGTTTGGCTTTATTGCACATATACATGTATATGTTTACTCCTTTTTCAGCACCAGCCAAAGACCCTTTCTTATTTTCCAACTATTAAATATTTTAGTACTTTCTGGAACTGTTGTATGGGTGTTATTATTTTGCTCCAGGTTTTATTCATTTTTGGATTTTATTTTCTCTCTTTCTTATATTTCTATAATGTATGCGTGTTTTCTTTTTCACTTACCAGATGAACTAGACAACTTTTGCTCTTGGGTGGAATATAAAAGGTTCATCAGATGTTTTCACTGTTATTAAATATTCCTAATTTGGCTTGCTTCAGGCATGTGCTAAGCATAGGTTGAAGAATGCTGATCCTAGTTAGGATCTTACCTCCAAAATATGTGAAATCATGCTCTCTGTCTCTCTCTCTCTCTCTCTCTCTCACACACACACACACAGAGAGAGAGAGAGAGATACTGTTGTGAGAATGTCTCTTACAGCAATATGCAGCTATGTTCAGCTCTGTACATAAATGATGTGCATTTTATAACAGCATTTTTCATACTTATTAGTAGCTTGTTCAATTCTAGGAGTAACGAAGGGCCTCATTTGGCCCCAATAACAGCAATCTAAACTTCATACTTCCAGGGAAACCATCTTCGTCCACCTTAACATGGAACCTTTGTAAAATGCAAGATTATTGTGGACAGTAAAAAGGCCAGACTCCCTTCACTACAGAATCACCCTCCATATTTTCCTGTAGCTGCCCCTTCCAGGAGAAGGGGAGAAAAGTGTCTTTCAGGTAAGCTTTCCATCCATTCCTAAGCTTCTTTACCAAGGATTCCCCTGCAAACTTCTGCTCAATATAAAATGTACTTTTTAGATAGGTATGATATAAAATTTGATGCTATTACACTGGGATTGGGATTAATGACTACAATATTAACTTTTTTCCTAAAGGCAGGTTATAATGAAATTCTGCTGAAGATTTCAGAGCACACAGTAGCATTAACAATCCCAAGCACCTGTGAAAAGATCTTGGAAAACCTGGAACAGGTGATCCTTTAAAAGTTTTGTTTCTAGTGTACAGCTCTGAATTCAAAGATACTAATTAAAACATGGTATATGGCACCAATAAGAGAAGACGTGTTAATGCGGCTGCAGTGGAAAATGAAAAGACCCTTAGGGGTTCACCAGGTTGTTTATGATCAGCTAATTCAGCATCACCATAAATCTTCTAAAAGAAACTATACTAGGCTTCTTATATATTACCTCTCACATCTAAGAGTGTACGAATTAGGATTGAAAATGAAAACAGTTTCACTGTTCAACAGCTTGCATTTAAGGTTATCATAAGACTATAAAAATACTAAGCATATAAGAATACAGTAACAAGTATGATTTAACAGATTTCTAAGGCGGCTATATAAACAGACATGAGCACGTATGTACAAACTCCGTCTTCATAAATTCAAAGACACTATTGGAACATTTGGTGGCAAAATTGTTCTTTAAGTTTTTGCCTCATCTACACAATCTGTGGCTCACATGGAAGAGTCTTTTCGGTTGCAATAATGGAACCAAACCACTTGCGATCTCCCAAAACTTCAGTTTTCACTTTGCATTTGTATAAATTGCAAAGGAGGTATGTTTCATGAAAGCAAACCAGCAGAATGAAATAGGTTATAGATTTTCAGTCTACAGGATTAATAATGAACCTTATTAATTGTTGCATATTAGTTTAACAGCAACCAGATTTACCACATCTCAGGAGCTTTTCAGCATATGCTGACCCTTTACTTTCCTCCAGCAAAACTCTCCCTGACCTCAGTTATGCCAGAACTGGTTCAATATCGGTGCTTTTGATCGGCATGCTGAAAACAAGGGTGCTTCACACAACTTCAATTATAAATTTATGAAGTTATATGTGTGCCACAGTAAATATGCTACAGATACTCTGTGAAACTGTTTGGATGCCCTTCATTTCTGTAAACTTGTTTACACAATAAATGCATGTTTATCATGGAAAAACTTCTGATTAAGCATTAAGTTTACACTGTGAATTAATTTCCTTTACTGTGGTTCCTCTGCTTCAGCACCAAGGCTAGCGACTGTAACCATAGCAGTGGAAGGCAACCCCCCTATGACATGCATTATTCATCACCACTGACAACTTGAGCAGAAAGCAGACAACTCAACTTTGACTTCTGCAGCAAAATTTAACATATGACTTTTCTCTCCATTGCTCCCGCTCAGGCATAAACATGTATTGTGTGTTTTCAGAACACCTCCTCCCTTTAAATTAGGACAAAATATTTGACTAGTTCTGCGGCAGAAAGGTTTCCGAGCAGAATAGGGCCACAGATTCAAGAAGCTGGAATGTAGTTACAAATGAAACACATCATCCTTACTTTAAGATTGCGGGGCGGGGGGGGAGCTGTTATTGTGGTTAACCAAACTTTTACCTAATTTGGTCTTTATAAAATAAATCAAAATTGTATACAATTTCATTTTTGTTTGTTGTTGCTCTTTTGTTTTGTTTTGTTTTCTACATGGGTACTATTTCCTTCTTTTTGTGTCTTCTCATACTCTGTGCACTTGTAATTATGTACTTTTTATTTTTCAATAAAGAATCTAAAATAAAATAAAATCCTTCATTTTGAGAGGTTTATTCCTTGATTTTCATATTGAAGGAACTATTGTAAATGCCTAACAGATCTCCAGGGAACTAAGAATGTGCAATCCATCTGGCTATGAAACTACTGTTAACATAGGTTCTCACAAAACTAAGACATTGGTGGTGTTTAGCTGATATGTATACCTACCAATGTATTTTCCAAAATACCAATGTATTTGTCCCAAAAGTCTGAATGAAATTGCGTGTGAGGATAAAGAATTTAATTTATTTCTCAAAAAGGTCAAAGTGGGCTACAAAATATAACATAAACTTCAGGATCAAGAGTGAAGGGCAGCACTCAATTGGCTGAAGTGAACTATTACGACAGCCCATTCCTTTCTTCTTTGAAAGTTCAAAAACAATACAGTCATAACTTGGAAGCTGAACACCTTGACTCCCAAACAAATTGGCTCCCAAATGATCGAAACCTGAGTGTGTTCCAGTTTCCGAATGATTTTTGGAAGCCAAACATCCGGCGTGGTCTCCAGTTGGATGCAGGATGCTCCTGCAGCCAATCGGAAGCTGCACTTTGATTTTTGAACAGTTCCGGGAGTCGAACGGACTCCAGGAACGCTTTCTGTTTGAAAACCAAGGTACCACTGTATTAATATTGGCCCTTCCTTCTCTCAAAGGACAAAGAAAGGAATGCTAAATATCATGCTTTTCATCCCACCTATCCTGTGCTTTTTTTTCAGGATGAGTTCATGAATGAATTCATGGAATATCCAGGGAGGCTCACCGAGCACAAACCTTGCCATTGTTCTGGCACCAGGCAAACCTGTTTCTGTTTTCCCAGGCAACTGGGCAGCACCATTTATATGACTGTGCTGTTAAATTTGTTTTTCATATGCAGTTTTATTACTGTATTTTCAACTTTGTTGTAAAAGGCTTCAGGAGCCTTTTAGTAAGAAATGATATATAAACCTAACTTAGTCCAGCCTAACCATATACACACCATTTAAGTAAATTTTTCCTTTAAATGTTTCATTGTGTCTATTAGGAAGTGTTTTCAAAGGAAGAAGAGGATGCTTCTGAATGTCTGTTGCTGGGAAGTGAGTAAATTGCTGTTGCTTACATTGGCTTTTCAAAGGCCTCTATCTGGTCTGTCACTGTGAGAACAAGATGCTGGACACGATGGTCTCTTGGTCTGATCCAGCAGAGCTTTTCTTATGTCCCTAAGCTGCACAGTGTTTGAATCTTCAAACACATCTGCTATAAAATGGCTCTATTAA